ATCTCAAACCATAGAAAAACAAGCATATCAATCTATGGAGAATCAACGAGGAGGAGGTCGTCTTGGAAAACCTCGATCCAAGTGTAGTTATTGTCATAAGTCTGGACACACTCGTGACATATGTCATCCTTTGCATGATCCACCACCCAGTTATGATCCTGTTGCTCTAAAGGAATATAATGAGTTCCTTTGTAATTGTGCAAGTAAGCAAACATCTCCACAGGAAGCATTTGTTGCTCCGCCTGATCGACCATCTCATAATGCTCATATTGCTCAATCAAAATATGATGAGTTCCTTCAATATCGAGCAAGTAAGCAAATGTCTCCACAAGTAGCTTCGGTTGTTCAACATGATGTTGTTGTTGCGGGTAATTCTTTTGCTTGTGTTTCACAGTCTAATACTCATGGATCATGGGTCATGGACTCAGGCGCTTCTGATCATATTTCTGGTAACAAATCACTTATGTCAGGTATTGTTTATTCATAATTTCTTCCTTCTATTACTTTGGCCAATGGGATCCAAACAAAACCAAAAGGGGTTGGAAAAGCCACACCCCTATCTTCTCTCACTCTACACTCTGTTCTCTATGTCCCTAGTTCTCCTTTTAATCTGGCATCTGGCATCTGTTAGTCGTTTGATAGGTGCCCTACATTGTAGCATAACCTTTTTTGATGATTCTTTTCTCATGCAGGACCGCAGCTAGGGACAAATGATTGGCACATGACATGAATCACAAGGCCTTTACTATCTTACCTCTTCAAATTCCTTCACAACATGCTCTGTTACAGATCCTCCGGACCTCATTCACAAACGTTTGGGACATCCGAGTCTATCCAAACTGCAACAGATGGTGCCTAGTTTATCTAAATTAGATTGTGAGTCATGTCAACTTGGGAAACACACTCGTGCCACATTTTCACGTGGTACCGAGGGGCATTCAGAGTTTATTTTTTCATTAGTTCATTCTGATATTTGGGGTCCTAGTAGAGTTAGTTCCACCTTAGGATTTCGTTATTTTGTTAGTTTCATTGATGATTATTCGAGATGCAAAATCAGTTTGGTGTTTCTATTCGTACTTTTCGTAGTGATAATGCCTTAGAATACTTATCATTCCAGTTTCAGGAGTTTATGTCTCACTAAGGAATTATTCACCAAACATCTTGTCTGTACACTCCTCAGCAAAATGGTGTAGCAGAAAAAAAGAATAGGCATCTCATTGAGACTGCTCGCACTCTCCTTATTAAATCCCATGTTTCGCTGCGTTTTTAGGGTGATGCAGTTCTTTCATCTTGTTATTTAATTAATAGAATGCCCTCATCTTCTATTCAGAATCAGATTCCACATTCCATATTGTATCCTCAGTCACATCTCTATTCTATCCCTCCTCGTGTATTTGGGAGCACATGCTTTGTTCATAACTTATCCCCAGGAAAAGATAAATTAACCCCTCATGCTCTTAAATGTGTCTTTCTTGGTTACTCTCGAGTTCAAAAAGGAAATTGTTGCTATTCACATGATTTCCGCCGGTATCTTATGTCTGCCAATGTAACATTCTTTGAATCTCAACCTTACTACACATCTTCTGATCATGCTGATGTCTCTGAGGTCTTACCCATACCTCAAGTCTTGCCTGTACCGACTTTTGAGGGACCTACGGTTACTTCTCCATCTCCAGTTGTAGTGCCACCACTCCTAACTTATCATCGGCGTCCACGTCCAACAATAGTCTCAAATGATTCATGTCATGTGTCAGATCCTGCTCCCTCTGCGGCCTTGCCTCCTGCTAGCCAATCGATTACACTTCAAAGAGGTACAAGATCTACTCGAAATAATAATCCACATTATACTTTCTTGAGTTATCATCGTTTATCTTCACCCCATTATGTCTTTGTATCATCTTTGTCCTCTATTTCCATCCCTAAGACTACAGGAGAAACACTTTCTCACTCTGGATGGAGGCAGGCTATGATTGATGAGATGTCTACTTTACATTCGAGTGGTACTTGGGAGCTTGTCTCCCTTCCTACAGGTAAGTCTATTGTTGGTTGTTGTTGGGTTTATGCGGTTAAAATTGGTCCAGATGGTCAAGTCGATCTATTTAAGGCTCGCCTTGTTGCCAAAGGGTATACTAAGATATTTGGGCTAGATTACAGTGACACTTTCGCTTCTGTGGCCAAAATAGCATCCGTCCATCTTTTTCTATCTATGGCTGCCGTTCGTCATTGGCCTCTACATCAGTTGGACATTAAGAATGCTTTTCTGCATGATGATCTTGAGGAAGAAGTCTATAATAGCAACCACCTGGTTTTGTTGCTAGGGGGAGTCTAGTAGCCTTGTGTCGATTGCGTCGGTCACTCTATGGTCTGAAACAGTCTCCTCGAGCTTGGTTTGGAAAGTTCAACACAATAATTCAGGAGTTTGGCATGACTCATAGTGGATCTGATCACTCTGTGTTTTGTCGGCATTCAACACCAAATCTGTGTATTTATTTGATTGTTTACGTTGATGATATCGTTATCACCGACAATGATCAAGTTGGTATCGCTAATTTGAAACAGTATCTCTTTCAGCATTTCCAAACTAAAGACCTCGGCATACTGAAGTATTTTTTAGGTATTGAGGTTGCTCAATCTATATTAGGTATTGTTATTTCTCAACGCAAGTATGCTTTAGACATTCTTGAGGAGACAGGAATGATGGGATGTAAACCCATTGACACACCTATGGATCCGAATGTTAAACTCCTTCCAGGACAGGGGGGAGCAACTCAGTAATCTTGAAAGGTATAGACGGCTGGTTGGAAAGTTGAATTATCTCACGGTGACTAGACCGGACATCTCTTTTCCTGTGAGTGTTGTAGTAAGTTTATGACTTCTCCTTGTGATAGTCATTGGGAAGCAGTTGTTCATATTCTGCGATATATAAAGTCAGCTCCTAGTAAAGGACTACTCTTCGAGGATCAAGGCCATGAGCATATCACCGGATATACAAACGCTGATTGGGCAGGATCACAAGCTAGGTATATATAATTTGTATGCACCAGCTTGAGGGGGAGTGTTAGAATAGAATAGATATACACAATCCTACACATAATATGAATAGTTTATAGTCTCCTAGTTGGTAAGGAATTGTATCATAGTGTCTATAAATAGGGTTCTCTATGTAATAATTAAAACACAATTCAATAATATTTTTCTCATATATTTCTCACATACTGAATATGTGAAATATGCATGATAAGACTACAAAATTGAACATGATAAGACTACTAAATCGAATGGAAGACCCTAGCTTGATTCCTTGAACCGAAGCTTGAAGCTAAATAACCCCAGTTCTTGCTTTAGAGGAGTTGAGACGTATTGATTCTAATCTCTGGGTATTGGATGTTAATGGAAAGGTTTAGGTCGACTAAGTTTCCCTTAATCTCTGTGAGAAGTATAGGAGAAAAATATTATTGAATTGTGAATTGACATTATTACATGGAGACCCTATTATACACTATAATACAATCCTTTACCAAGAAGGATACTAAATATTATTCATATTCCTATTCCTATTCCTATTCCTATTCTAAGTAGGATTGTGTACATCTATTCCTATTCTAGCAGCCTCTCTTAGAATAGGCTACAACGATTTAGTATAGGAATTAAAAGAGTAGAAAAAGATCAAAACAACCATGAAGGAAAAACTGTCGGCAGCTTCTACGAGGGCCATCTTGAACTACAGGCCATAGATTCCTCTCATAGAAATTTGGCCTAAATACTGAGTTTCTGAAGTTTGATCTACGGGACTCATTTATGATCCGTAAACGTAGTCTGTAAAAGTCAGACAATAATCGAATTCTAGTACTTTGATCATCAAGCCCATCTACGACCCGTAAAAGCATCTACGACCATACTTCAGCCACTGTTGCATCTTGTTGTTGGCATAAGTTGTAGATGTCTGGATATATTTGTTTCAACGGTCCATGACCAATCCATTTCTCCTCCCAAAAAGATGTGTAAGTTCCCAAAAAAACACGTTGCAAGCTTATGATAAAAGGAAAGGAGCTTGGCTAATGGCATTCTTGTGGTTTTTTAAACCAAGTTTTCAACTGATTTTGATGTTTAATTTATCTATTGTTAAGATCAGCTCATACAATCTTCAAGTTGTCCAAAATGAGCTAATTTAGCTCCTGAAACTAGGTCAATAAAAATAAACAAAATTGTGGAGACTTTGTAGCTTTTACTTCCCTTGACACACTTTTTCATCCCCTGTCTGCAATTTCTCAAACCTATGCAAAAACTCCCTGTAATCTGTTGATCATTCTCCTATGTTAATACCAAACCCTACTGGTGAAGTGTGTTGAGTGAAAGTAGACAAGGAAGGGAAGTAAATTTTCTTTGACATTGTACTACTTTCAAATATGAATGGTGATAAGACCTCGGTTCAATTGTAGCATAATCTCTTGTTGGTTTTAACCTACATCTAGTTCAAATACCACTTCGATTGTACTTCTTGAAGGGAGGATGAAAACACGTTATACACATGGTACTTGATGGGATTTATCTTTTCAAAGCTTTATCAACTTTACTGTATTAGTGCTTCCTGATGAGATGTCTAACCCTCACCATTTTTGGTTCCGAAGGTCATATGTAGCAATTTCTCATCCTATTGAACCATATTCTCAAAAGGTTTTCCTTTCAAATCAAAAGTATCATATTGTGATATAGGAAAGCTTCTAGGTGTTATGACTTGTAACGAGCAAAGTTTTCGACTGTTAATTTCTATTATAGATTGATTATGCAGTAATTGTTTTGTTTCAGTTTACTATTGGTATTGTCTATCTGATGGTTAGGTGATACTCTGGGATGACCTCTGTTGGGTTGATGTTTTACTCTTTCAATACTTTTCACTGTATGTTAGAAAAAGTAGAAAAACACTTTTACATCCGTGGTCTGAACTTTATCTTCTTGTCAGGATTTGATATTTCAAGCTGACTGGTCTCTCATTTTTACAGCTTTCGGCTCCTGTCAATAATATGGAAATGTTTGTTACAGAGTAGCCTGGGATCTAATATGCATATCAAGCCAAAAGTTGGAGCAGATGGAGATATCATCTACTTCATCTATTCACGTCTTTTGAAGCCGAGAATGTACTAGATGTATAATCAAGAAAATTAAGATTCCACTAATATATCATGTATAACGAGCTTATCTTTGATGTATGGTTCTCTTCCTCCCCCACCTCCTGCCCTGTTCCACCAATTTCCGCAAAAAGATTAGAGAAAAAATAAAGAAAGAAATGGATTGGATGTAGTCCAGTGTTGGAGTTGAATTTCAAATTTGAGTAGCTTCTTTTATTGTTACTGCGTATGTTGCTGCTGCAATGCTAGATGGTATAATACTTGGCAGGAATGTACAGTTTGAGCATGATTCTCCACCTGGTTGTAAAGATATACTCAAAAACTGAAGAATTGGGAAACAAAATGCTATTTTTAAGAGGTAATAAATAAATACTATAGGGACTTCAATTTTTTAATTTTTTTTTTTTCAATGAATCGAAAATGGAGTTATTATTTTGTTAAAAGAGAGAAAGAAACATAAGTCGTTTGGTAGAGTGTATTAGTTATATACTCTATTGTGTACTGAGGAGTGTAATACTAATAACATGGATTTCAAGGTATTAGCAATGCAAAGGATTTAATACATGTATTAGCATTGTTAAAGACCCTATTGCCTCTCAAAGGCCCTTTTACATCTTTTCCACCATAATTGTGGAGGATATTTTTGTAAATAAATATTTTTATGCAATGCATACTATTTTTAATATATCAAAGAAATAATATATGCATAGCTAATACACTCTATTGAACACTATTTTTATACACTCTACCAAATGACAAGTATATTATTTCATGTTTTCTCCTTTCCAAAACGAAATATTTTATGGTTTTTTATCATATGTTAATAGTTAATCGAAATTTAGCTTGCTTGTGCAATGTGCACCTCCATGAAGTTCTTCAAGTGTTGTTGAGAGTCATCATCATTAAAATTATGACATTGTTCCTCAGTCTTGAGTATGGTGTAAATGCACACATTCATCTTGAAGGACGTAACATTCACACAAGGTGTCACAATAACATTTACCTAGTGAATCTCCTTATTCATGTTCACAAACACATTAATCTCCTCAGGCAGATTAGTTGCTTGTGCAACACCTACAACTGCAACAGTTGCTACTACAGATGCAAGTTGAATGGCTAGTGCTTGATGTGCTAATTGCTATGATAACCTGATTCATAGCAAAAACAAATAGAATGGCATGGAATATAAATAGACGTTATCATAGTAAACACCATTAAGTAAGATCGTATTTGTTTTTGTAACGATGCTAAAATTTGATACTCTCAAAATTACATTTGAAGATGATGCAACACGATCATATGCTAATATAGTAATCCAAACAAGATTGGGTCGAATACCACATAAAATAAGAAGAATTACTACTGATTGGACAAATACTTGGTTAGCAGTCTGTTAGCTACTAAAAACAACTTATTGTTAGAAGCACTTTTTAAAAGTAACTTTTTTGAAAAGTGCTTTTAAAAAAACCAATTTGTGTTTGGCAAATTCGTTTGAAAAATGCTTTTGATAATCAATTTGTGTTTGACTAATTTTCTTTAAAAAGTGTTTTTGAGAGTCAAATTACGAAAAATGACAAGTTTAATATTAAGATTATTTTATAGACAAAAACTATTTTAAACATCTAATACAGAAAATTTAATTACATTTTAAATTTAATTATTTAAAATGTACATATTCAAATTTTTAATCAATATTGTACATAGATAAATATTGTTGAAAAATATTGAAAAGAGGAATCTTTTTGCTATTTGTCACCTATTTTTTTGGATTCAATCTTAGCTATTATCATTTTTTTGGTTATAATACTCTGATGTTTTAAAAAATTCAAATTAAAATAAAATAATACGTAAATTAAGATTTTTTTTTTTTTTTGTTATTTGTTACTTTTTTGGGAGAGTCTAAATCTTTAATTGTTATTTTTTCTCTTTTTTAATGCTACAAAAATATCGTTGTTACTTTTATTTCTAATTCTGTAAAATAATACATAAAGTAATATATAAATAATAATGTAAAACATAAATAAAATAAAAAATTTATAATATAAAAATAAAAAATAAAATTCTTGAATAAAGATAAACCAAACTTATGACATATGTTAATTAATTAATAAGGGATATGTTGATAAATATGTATGTATGTAACGGATATTTTAGTCTTAAAAAATTAATTTTCTATTTTTGCTTTTGCTTTTTTTTAAAAGTTGAAATTTTTAGCTTCTTACCAACAACAGAAAAATTGTTTTTGCTTCAATTTAAAAGTCGTTTTAAGAATTAGTCAAACACTCCATTTCTCAAAATAAGTGTTCTTTTCTATAAAAAAAAAACACTTCTGGTCTCCCAACAATAATGCCAAACAAGATTGCAGAAATAATTTTGAGATAATTTATATGATTATAGAACCAAGTTTGTTCACCTTATTGGGATGTACCGTTCTTGATTTTCATGCAATTATAGATAATCGGGTTTCTAAATATGCACTCGATCCCTACAACACCACTCAATCTTTATCAAGAGTTGAACAATTTATCTCAATATTTTCTAAATTTATACGAGTTATTTAGGTAAGAACAACTAATTATGTCATGTCAATTCAACTTTTCTCTAAGAGAATCTATTAAACAAAGGTTAACGCCTTGAATTCATGCAAACTATTTCTATCAAATT